TCCCAGCAACAGCAGCCACTGTAAAAGCTGCCGCCTGCACATGTGGAGGAGAAGGAGGAGGCTGTGCAGCTCCAGAGGCCCTGTGGGAGCTGCATACGGGTTCCACAGGGGGTGGGGGAGCAGAATTTTTTCGGGGAAATCTCGGGTTCCGCAGCGCACCATTTGGGAAACACTGCCCCAGGGAAAAGTTGTTGAGCAAAAAAAAGGAGCTTGCCCCTTTAGGGGTGGCCATTTTGAATTCTGTTCTCTCCGTGAGGCGTTCCACGAGGAGTAACAATACTTCGAATTAGAGAGCCTAATTCGAACTACCTATTCTGTGTCGCGTGTAGCCGCAGGCACGGAGTCCACACTAACGGGGATTTAAAAATGGCGGCGCCCGGCAAGATGCAAATGAAGCCCGGGATATTTAAATCCTGGGTTTCATTTGCAACTTCGCATGCCTACATTAGCCACCCTAGTTCGAACTAGGGTGGCAGTGTAGACATACCCAGAGAGTCACAGAGGCCAAGTGTGTTGGCTCTGGCTTCAGTGGTAGCACTAACTAATATTGTAAATCTTGCAGCTCAGCCTCTCAAATTCACCCCCCACCCTGCATTTCAGAACCCAACCTCTAGCCTGAACATCTACACAGCTGTTCTTAGTGCCAAAGCAAAAGTCTCAGTGTGTAGACGGGGGCTCAGAGACACTCAGGTTTGCAGCTGTTCAGGCTCTAGGAGGGAGGGAGGGAGAGAAGCAGGGATGGAGCATGCATTAGGGGATTCATGGCATTCAGAATGTACTAGGAGGCAGGGGGAGGAGTAGAAAGTGCAGAGTTCTAGTTCTCCAGTGCAGGAGGTGTGTGGGGGAGAGGAGCAGAGAGAGGATCCACGAGCAGCAGGTGGAACCCCAGTGGGACACAGGCTGCAGATTGCCCACTACTGACAGCAATGTGGCCAGCTGAGATGAAGGAGAGCCACATCCTGCCCACTTAATTAGCCTCATTAACACAAGTCCTACAATTGACAGGTACTTCTTTTGCCCATGAAAGCTCATGAGTCTTTATATTTTGGTTAGTCTCTAAGGGTAGTTTGAACTAGCGGGGTAATGTAGGCATACCGCACTTGCAAATGAAGCCCAGGATTTGAATTTCCCGGGCTTCATTTGCATAAGCGGGGAGC